GGGGGTACACCCAACCTAGGGCTGGTGTACCCCCAGGGGGTACACTGTCCCTAGGGCACATGTACCCCCCTACCCTCGACCCCCGGGTGTACACAGAACCTAGGGCTGGTGTACCCCCCGGGGGTACACGATCTCTAGGGCCCATGTACCCCCCTCCTCGAGACCCGGGGGCACAGCGAACCTAGAGCTGATGTACCCCCACCTGAGGGGGGTACACGTACCCTAGAGTTTATGTATCACCCGAGATTCGTACGCACAACACCTAGAGTTAATCAAAGCTCGCTTTAGGTTATGTTAGGCTAGGTTAGGTTAGGCTAGGTTAGGCTAGGTTAGGCTAGATTAGATCTGGCCACTTTAGTGGTGCGGAATATGTGCCCTCGAAGACATGAGGTATGGTAGATCCCTTACCCTCAAGGTAGGAGGTACATGGGCCCTAGTGGTCGTGTAACCCCGGGGGGTACAACAGCCCTAGGTTGGGTGTACCCCCGAGGCTCGAGGGTGGGGGGTACATGTGCCCCAGGGATCGTGTACCCCCCGGGGGTACACCAGCCCTAGGTTCTGTGTACCGCCGGGGGTCGAGGAGGGGGGGTACACCTGCCCTAGGGACCATGTACCCCCCGGGGGTACATCAGCCCTAGGTTAGGTGTACCCCGGGGGGTCGAGGAGGGGGGGTACCTCTGCCCTAGAGATCGTGTACCCCCGGGGGTACCCCAGCCCTAGGTTCGGTGTACCCCCGGGACTCGAGGGTGGGGGGGTACAGGTACCCTAGAGCTGATGTACCGGGGGTACTCCAACTCGGGGGGGTACAATCGCTCTGTTACACCGGTGCTCTTTTGTAAGCACCCGGGCGAACTTTCTTTCTGCGTGTGAGATAGGTTAACTACACTGTAAGTTTCTAAGTACGAAGAACTGTTTTTTGTAAAGTACAAAGGCTTTGGCACCTTTGCAACACAAACAAATCATTTTGTATTACGATAGGCTCGGCGAAGAGCACGCGTTTGTTAACACGGTGCTCTTTGCAATAATAAGAAAATCCGTCTGTAATATGGCGATTCCAGATCATTCGTACGTTACAAACCAAATTCTTCGTAATATCAACACTGCCCTTCGTCAGGAACTAATATTGTAAACATGAGCGAAATGTCCAAAAATGTCTAGTAATTGTAC